CTGATCCCTCCTGATAACATGTCGAGAGTATGTGAGATGAAAGTCTCGCCATATCACTTCTAAGGAGCACTCTGGCTGTACTTTTTCCAAGACAGATTTGTTTGTTCTTCTGCAGACCATGGTATATTCAATATTTTTCACCAACAGCATAATTCAAAGGTGTCAATTCTTCTTTGGTCTTCTTTATTCATTTTCCAGCTTTCACATGCATATGAGGCAATTGAAAACACCATGACTTGGGTCAGGTGCACTTTAGTCTTTAAAGTGACATCTTTGCCTTTCAACACTTTAAAGAGATTGTTTGCAGCACATTTGCCCAGTGCAATGTGTTGTTTGACTTCTTGACTGCTGCTTCCATGGACATTGATTATGAATCCAAGTAAAATGAAATCTTTGACAACTTCAATCTTCTCTCCGTTTACCATGATGTTACTTATTGGTCCAGTTGTGAAGATTTTTGTTTTCTTTATGTTAAGGTGTAATCCATATTGAAGGCTGTAGTCTTTGATCTTCATCAGTAAGTGCCTCAAGTCCTCTTCACTTACAGCAAGCAAGGTTGTGTCAGCTACATATTACAGGTTGTTAATGAGTCTGCCTCCAATCCTGATGCCCCATTCTTTTTCATATAGTCCCACTTTTCAGATTATTTGCTCAGCATACAGATTGAATAAGTATGGTGAAAAGATACAACCCTGACATGCATTTTTCCTGACTTTAAACCATGCAGTATCCCCTTGATCTGTTCAAACGACTGCCTCTTGGTCTAAGTACAGGTTCCTTATGAGCACAGTTAAGTATTCTGGAATTCCCATTCTTCTCAATGTCATCTATAATTTGTTATGATATACTCAGTCAAATGCCTTTACATAGTCAATAAAACACAGGTAAACATCTTTCTGGTATTCTCTGCTTTCCACCATGACACATCTGACATCAGCAATGATATCCCTTGTTCCACATCCTCTTCTGAATCCAGCTTGAATTTCTCTCAGTTCTCTGTCGATGTACTACTACAACCGCTTTTGATCTTCAGCAAAATTTTACTTGTGTGTGATATTAATGATATTGTTTGATAATTTCTGCATTCTGTTGGGTCACCTTTGTTTGGAATGGGTACAGATATGGATCTCTTCCCGTCAGTTGGCCAGGTAGCTCTCTTCCAAATTTCTTGGCATAGCTGAGTGAACACCTCCAGGGTTGCATCCGTTTGTTGAAACATCTCAGTTGGTATTCCATCAATTCCTGGAGCGTTGTTTTTCACCAATGCCTTCAGTGCAGCTTGGACTTCTTCCTTCAGTACCGTCAGTTCTTGATCACATGCTACCTCCTGAAATGGTTGAAGGTCAACCAATTCTTTTTGGTACAGTGACTCTGTATTCCTTCCATCTTCTTTTGCTGCTTCCTGCATCGTTTAATATTTTCTCCATAGAATCCTTCAGTATTGCAACTCGAGGCTTGAGAAATGTCGATTGTGTTCTTCCCTTTTGGTTTTCTATCTCCAGGTGTTTGCACATGTCATTATAATGCTTTGTCTTCTCGAGCCGCCCTTTGACATCTGTTCAGCTCTTGCTTCATCATTTCTTCCTTTCACTTTAGCTACTCTGTGTTCAAGAGCAACTTTCAGAGTCTTCTGACATCCATTTTGGTCTTTTCTTTCTTTCTTGTCTTTTTAATAACATCTTGCTTTCTTCATGTATGATGTTCTTGATGTCATTCATCAACTCATCTGGTCTTCGGTCATTAGCGTTCAACGTGTCAAATCTATTCTTGAGATGGTCTCTAAATTCAGGTGGAATATACTCAAGATCATACTTTGGCTCTCGTTGACTTGTTCTCATTTTCTTCAACTTCAGCTTGAACTTGCTATGAGCAGTTGATGGTCTGTTCCACAGTCAGCCCCTGGCCTTGCTGTGACTGATGATATTGAGCTTTTCCAACGCTCTTTCCACAGAGGTAGTCGATTTGATTCTGGTGTATTCCATCTGGTGAGGTCCATTGTATAGTCACTGTTTATGTTGTTGAGAAAAGGTATTTGCAATGAAGAAGTCATTGGTCTTGCAAAATTCTATCATGCGGTCTCTGGTGTTATTTCTATTACCAAGGCCATATTTTCCAACTACCAATTCTTCTTTTGCTTCCAGCATTCACATTCCAATCACCAGTAATTATCAATGCATCTTAATTGCATGTTTGATCAATTTCAGACTGCAGATGTTGGTAAAAATCTTCAATTTCTTCATCTTTGGCCTTAGTGGTTGGTGGATAAATTTGAATAATAGTCATACTAACTGGTCTTTCTTGTAGGCATATGGATATTATCATATCACTGACAGTGTTGTACTTCAGGGTAGATCTTGAAAGGATACACTTACACACATAAAAAGTCAGGCCCACTACCTGTCTGCCAGTTGTCGTACTGTGGTGGCTTGAGTGTTGCTATGATGCTGGAAGCTATGCTACCGGTATTTCAAATACCAGCAGGGTCACCTATGGTGGACAGGTTTCAGCAGAGCTTCCAGACTAAGATAGACTAGGAAGAAGGACCTGGTGATCTACTTCTGAAAATTAACCAGTGAAAACCCTGTGGATCACAATAGAATGGACTCAAATGTTCCAAGAATTGTGCTGGTACAGGACCAGGCAGCATTTCATTCTGTTATACATAGGGCCACCGTGAGTCAGAGCTGACAGCAGCTAACAATAACATATGTCAGACACTGTTCTAAGTGCTTTACAACCATGAAATGTTTAATGCCTTAAACAACTCTGTCATGGATTGAATTATGTCCCCCCAAAAATGTGTGTGTCATTTTGGCTGGGCCATGATTCCCGGTATTGTGCGATTTTCCTATATGTTGTAAATCCTGCCTCTATGATGTTAATCAGGGAGGATAGGCGGCAATTGTGTTAGTGAGGCAGGACTCAATCTGCAAGATTGGATTGTATCCTGAGGCAATCTCTTGAGATATAAAAGAGAGAAGTGAGCAGAGAGACAGGGAGACCTCATACCACCAAGAAAGCAGTGCCAGGAGCAGAGCATGTCCTTTGGACCCGGGGTCCCTGCGCGGGGAAGCTCCTAGTCCAGGGGAACATTGAAGAGAAGACTGACAGAAAAAGAAAGCCTTCCCCTGAAGCTGATGCCCTAAATTTGGACTTTTAGCCTACTTTACTGTGAAGAAATAAATTTCTCTTTGTGAAAGCCATCCACTTATGGTATTTCTGTTGTAGCAGCACTTGATGACTAAGACAAACTCTATAAGATAGATACTATTATTGTCTGCATTTTACATATGAGGAAACTGAGGAACAGAGAGATTAAGTAATTTGCCTAAGAATCACGCAGCTAGTAGGTGGCAGAGCCAGGACTCAAACCCAGAGTAACTTCAGAGCTTTTGCTCTTCCCACACCACTGAGTCCCTGCTCATGTGACCAGGTTACAGCACTGTTTGTAATTGCAAAAGTTTGGAAACAGCCTCAGTGTCCATCAGTAAGCTCTTGTTTAAGTAAATTATGATACTTCCGTAGCATCATTTGGCATGGTGCAGAAGGTGCCACCATTTGTGTTCATAAAGGGGATGGGGCAGAACATTTGTTCATACTTGCTAGGATAAACATATAATACCTTTGGAAGGAAACACAAGATTTGGATAACCACAGTCACCCATGGGGAGGAAAACGGTGGCCAAGGGTAGGGTAGGAGGGCGACATCACTGTATTCCCTTTTATACTTTTGGATTTTGAGCCGTCCATATATATTACTTACTCAAAAAAAAAACCAAAAAGCCCTGAGAACAACTTCTTTTTAATAATTTATCTCTGACCATACAAGCACTTTGTTCATAGATTTTTTTAATTTAATTTTTTTAAATTTATATATGTGAACAGGTTATATGTGCTTGTGGTTTAAAAAAAAAAAAAATCCCCAAGGGAGTATAATGGAAAGGCAGTCTTTTCCCATTCCTGAACTGCAATCTCCCAGCCCCCTCCTCGCAGGCAGCCTCTTATGAATTCCCTCCATTCTCTTCCTCACTCTGGTGCCTGGCTGATCCTGGGCACAGAGCAGCCTCTTTGTCTGTCCTACCAAAACTAGATCTGAAAATAGGCATCTAATTTTAGTAACCAGGCCTTTTGTGGGTGTTTTTGGAGACATTGTATAGAGTAGAAATACCCTATGTGATGTCTCCAAAAACACCCACAAATACATTTCCACCCAAATTACAGCTTAGAGAACCCTTGCTCTCTGTCATATGGTCATTCCACTCGCACCGTGATCACAGTTCACCACTCAGTAGTTAAATGCCCAGATTCCTTTGTGGTTTTGAAATAAAGCTTTCGTTTGATCCTAAGGAGTTGAGAGCAGATGGGGATTACTATCAGTGGCTGTGTTTTCTGCACCTACAATTGTATTAAATGCTTCTTATGTTGTCATCATCAGACGCATTGCCTGGGGTGGGGAAGGTGTCACAGGAACGAGCCGTGGTGTGTCTGAAAGAGCCGGGCCCATTGGAAGACCGTGCAGTGGGAAAGACCAGCTCAGGAATGTTTTATCAATGGAAGGACCTCGTTTCTATCCACTAATCCTGGCTGTCTTGGGAGAGACTAGGAAGATACAGGGCCTGGCCTGGGGCAGCTGGGATGCTGCAGGTGTAGGCGCTGCCACTCTGGTTGGTGAGGGTGATGGCTAAAATGAAACAGGGCTTCCCTGGGCCACGTTGTGTCACTGAATCAGAGTCAGAACACCATAAAACAACACCAGGGTTTGGCCTGGTGGGTGGCAGGGCCACTTCTGGCTCTGGCTGTTTCCCACCTGCCCACCCAGGCCTGCAGTAATGTCAGCCCATGGGCAAGCAGGAGCCCCCGCTGGGATTTAGGGAGGCCAAGAGGAGCCCAGCAGGTCCCTAGGGAGTGAAGCGGTGGATGAAGAGCCTGTGGTGGGGGGAGCTCAGGGGCCTGAGCGGTGGTACATCAAGGGGTTCACGCTGAGCTCTCTTGCTTTGCAGGGAAACTGAAGGAATGGAGCCTGATTTTGTACGGCACAGCCCAGCACCCATACAACACCTTCAGCTCCCACCAGTCTCGTTCGCGGATGCTGGAGCTCTCCACACCAGAGCTAGAGCTGGAGCCATCCAAGCCTGCTGCGTTCCCAGCCCAGTCCGAGGTCCCCGAGGAGGAAGAAGATTATACAGGTAGTGGATCTGAAGCAGGAGGAGCTGGCTAGCCTCAGTGATTTTTGCTTTTCCACTGTAGCTCTTAAACTGTGGGGCTGCTCCCAGCAAGAGGTGGGGGTGATGATTGTATGCCTTCTTGTTCCTGGAAGTTGTAATAATGATAGTAATTTGCACTCATACAGCTCCTTCCACCCAAGGCTCTCCTAATATTTTACAGAAGAGTAAGTATGCTTCAAACCAGTAAGTATTCTCCAACCTTCCCAGTCTGGGAAATTGAGGCCCTGTATGCCCAACCAGAACGGTTACCTGCCCCCCTGGTCAATTAGCCTCCTCCTGAGGCACCACTTTTTCCTCTCAGGCCCCCATCTCCCTTTCATGCCCACCCACATTTGGTCCTTGGAGGTTACTAACAGGGGCCCAGGCCTCTTAAGTGAATCTGCAGAGCCAGGAAGGGAGCTGAAGTGAGCGATCTGGGGCAAGGCTCCGAGAGCTGCGATAGAAACCTAGGACATTCAGTCAGTAGACACTGATGCTGCACGGAAAAGCTCTTACCAATATCACAGGCAGTAAAGACACCTCTGCAAACCTTGTCTTCTATCACAGGCAGTAAAGACACCTCTGCAAACCTTGTCTTCAGCCATACCATTGCCAGGTGGCATAGGTAGCACCTGGCCTGGCCCCAGCGCACCTTGCCAGGGCTGCAGAGTGCCACAGCAGCCAGCAGGGGGCTCCCGTGTCTCCAGCGGCTGGGCCTGCGGAGTTTTTATTAGCACGTTAGATAGAAAGCTGCTCCCTTCCCTCTGAGCCATCCCACACAGATTTGTGAGGCTGCAGTGTTTCTGGTTTGGCATATTTTCTTTAGCTGAATATTACAGCTACGTGATAAATGATGGGTGATATCTCAGAAGATTGATGCCAAGTTATGTAATCACTTCTGAAAAAAGTAACAGAATGGAGAATTCCATCAATACTGATCAAGCATAAATTATGGTTGATTCAATTTTAAATTTCCCCTTCAAAACCTAGCACTGAATTATGTATGGACCAATCTGCTCCATTTCCCCTTGTGATTTATAAATGGTGGCAAAATTCAGTAATTATTAATAAAGGACTAATTTTTATTTTCCTGAAAACCTACCCTTGGCTTTACCTTGTGCACCGGCACTTTGCCATAACATTATTCCGCAGTTCCATTTTCCCTCTGTTTACTGAGCATGGTGGAGCAAAGACGTGCTCCCTGATCTCAGGGAAGTTCCCTGCGGTTTCAGGCTGGTGGGGCAAGTGAACCAGTAGCAATGGGAAGAGCCGGCAGGAGACAAAGCACAGCAGAGAGGCTAGGACGGCAGGGCGCCCCACTGTGGACGGCAAAGAGAGAGCGCTTTGAGGAGGAGGGAGCAGCCTCGTTAGATCCTAGGTAGGTGAGGGAGGAGGGAACAGAGGAAATGCTGCTGAGTGGGGCTCACCTCGCACCCTGGGTGGAAGCAGCCTCAGTCACAGACATGCCTGGGTGCAGAGGCCCAGGGAGGGAGAAAGAGATTTTGAAGTGGAGCGATAACTGAACAACTTTCCAGAGATTTAACCCCACTCAGGAGTTTTAGTGGGGCATGCGGAGCAGGACCGCATCGGGCTGACACAGCCTACGTTCAACTCCTCACACCAGAGCTCTCTCCACAGATTAGACGGGACCTGCCCAGGCACTGAGCTGTCATTGGGGACCACACTGGAGTGGGTGTCAGTGTGTCACTCTCCTTGGCCCCCTGTTCTCTGCAGTCAGCCAACCCCTGTATCCTCTCCCCCATGTCTCCAGTGTTATGGTGAGGTTCCGGTGCCCTGTCCTCAGATGGGCAAATGGTGAAAAAGACCCTCCTGTGCCTTCAGAAATTGGCCTGATGCGAAATGGCAAAGCCCATCCGCCAGCCATTCCCCACTTGCTTTCTAACTTTTGCTTGTTTATGTTTTTTTGTTTTGTTTTTTAAATCCTGGATTTGTTCCACAAAGGATTTAAGGTGGCATTTTCAAATAACCCCATGTCAATATAATGCAATGTATCAGTCCTGTTAGCCAGTCCATTTACTGCAATAATTGAGCTCCCCTTATATACACATCAGAAACCCTGATGACATAGTGGTTAAGAGCTATGGCTGCTAACCAAAAGGTCAGCAGGTCGAATCCATCAGGCGCTCCCTGGAAACTCTATGGGGCAGTTCTACTCTGTCCTGTAGGGTCGCTATGAGTCGGAATTGACTCGAAAGCAGTGGAGTTTTGTATACAGAGCCTCCTGTTAGGAGTGATCGGATGCTGCACAGGAAGGCAGTAGATCTTGAAGGAACTTCCACGGAAGAACTTCCACACTCACTGAGGCAAGAGGAAAAGCAGATGTAAATACACAAGACATCACATATGCTCCCGCAGAGAATGAGTTGCAGCTGCACAAGGAAAAAATACACACATGCTTAGGAGTGACAGAGTAGCTGGGTAGGACAGCCAGGGATTGAATGCAAGAACGCTTCCTGGGAGACTTGACTCTTGATATTTGGCTTCTCAAAAGAATCCAAGTAGAGAGGCATCTGGGGAGAGTTTGCCCACAGAGCTCCCCCTGCCTACCTTCAGTCCCGGGGTGGGCTTTTTTTTTTTTTTTTTTATTTTTTTGATTGTACTTTAGGTGAAGGTTTACAAAACAAACTTTCTCATTAAACAGTTAGTATACATATTGTTTTATGACATTGGTTAACAACCCCATGACATGTCAACACTCTCCCTTCTCGATCTTGGAGGACCTTCTGTTTTTCTTCAGTGAAAATATACATAGCCAAACATACACCATTTCAAAAATTTCTGCATGTACAATTCAGTGACATTGATTACATTCTTCCAATTGTGCTGCTATTCTCACTTTAGATGAAGGTTTACAGAACAAAATAGTTTCTCATTAAACAGT